TATATATATATATATGAAGCCATTTCTTTGGACAGAGCTCCTGCACTAGATCCAGCAGACCAAAGCAAAATAGAATCAGTCATGCTGAAATTCCTTCCACAAAGCTGAAGCTTAAATTTGTTTATCTGATTTACAAGGAATCAGGAGGGAAAATGTAATAGCCAAATCTCTAAGCAGGTCAGTTTTAGTTAGCATTATAAAGAATTCCTCTCTGCTTTAACTCTTAAGAAAAACCTGAAATAAACTGATGTTAACCAATCAGCATTTTCTATTATTCTGTTTCTTTATCATCACCTAATAAAACCCATTGTTCTGTTATTGCACTGCAATAATTGTCATTTTATTTTATAGATTGAGGGCTAGGAGTATAGCTTAGTGGTAGAGCACTAAAGTCCAAATATTTTATAGAATAGAGATGTCTACAATTCATGAATCTTGAATAAAAGCTAATTAGACCTATAACTAAATTTCTTATAATTTTATCCTTTGATAAGCTTGTGCTTCGGCATTCATAGTATTACATTTACTCAGCTTTCCTCTAACCTCATTTATCTGAGAACAATGATCAAATGAAACAATGGGTACACTTCCAAATTGGAGACATAGAACTATAGAATTTGATTTGTTTTGCTTTTTTGGTTTTTTTTCCCCTGGAGGATATTTGTTGCTCTGTTCTGAGCAAACAGTGACCTGTAGTATCCTCTATCTAGTCACATTTTAGGTTCCTCACCTTTAAGTGGGAATCCATTAGGAGCCATCACCATGGGCATCTTGGCTCTGAGACCATCTCTTATTGATGTTTGCTTGTATATATACCTGGAAATAAATTTTCTTCTGAATCTAAAAATTCTGCTTTTGTGGGGGAAGCGGATTAATTGAGCAGTGAGATAAAGCTCAGTACACAGGATAAATGGTGATAAAACCAATATCATAAAAGAAATTAGATCTCTACAATCAACCAAGTGCACTGAACATATATTATTATTCTTGAATAGCAGAATATCCCTTGAGGGAAGTTGAAGAAAAATTCGTATTCTTCTTTAATAATCGAAGGATCCGAGACTCAGCAAGTGTAGAGGCCATGCCAATGACAATCGAAGTTGTAACTGAGCATTAGAGTTTGGGTTTTCTCCCTCCCCTTTTCCCTCTCTTTTTCCACTTCAACAAGCTGTTGTGAAAGATGTCAGAATCTTGTAATTTTGTCTTTTTCTCTAGAATCATTCAATCATAGTCCAAGAATATCCTTGCAAGAAAAGTGATCCTTCTGAAATTCCGAGTTGCTGACTTATTTATGTAATCAGCACGGCTTCAGCTGCAGATTCTCACCAATAACACGAAAGCTGAAGGCATACCTTTCCTCTCCACGTTTCTCTCCACCTTCCTCTTATGCACATCCCTAGACTACTTTTCTTACCATGTCATTTCCTAGGGGAAGAAGCTTACCCATTCTTCATTATCAAGGCTAGTATTCTGGCTGTTTTTTACTTAATTGTTTTAAAAAAGAAAGCTTTGTGTAGACTCGGTAGGTCATACTGAATCTCTCTCATATGTATTCACAGAATTAAAAATTTTCTTTGTTCTTTTCTGGCCCCAAGTCTTCTTGACAGAAAATTGCAACAAGAGAAAGGTCTGTTCCTTTTCGGATTGACTGTTCTCAACACCAGAAGCCTGAGAGGAAAGTTGGAGCATATGTTAGAGACCCTGGCTGCTAGAAGCTGTGCCAGGAGAGGCAGCATGCAACAAGGAAAGGTGATTCTGTTTTCAGGCTTCAGTTTCCTTCTTAAAGAACTCCATTCTCCTGCTAGGAAAGGAGAATTCTGCAGCAGATGCTGCTCAGACTTCCTGGTTGTCAGATAAGAAGGCACAATACAGTGAAGATCAAGTAAGTGTGCATGATGTATGTGTTTGTGCACATGTGTGTGTGCAAGAGTAGAAGGGGGTCAACACTTGGGAATCCAACATAATCTCCAAAATGAGGTACATTTTCCACTTCTTAAAAATGAAGGAAAGGAAAATAAGTATATCTCTAGATTGGGGGACAACAAATTTTTTCTTTAAAACACTACACAATAAACATTTTGGGCTTTAGGAGACACACCATGTATCCCAAATACTTTACGCTGCCACTACAGCACAAAAGTAGATTTAGACGACTTGTAAATAAAAGAGCACAGCTATGTTCAAATGAATCTTTATGAATGAACACAGAAGGATAAATTTTATAAATTTGCATGTTATAAAATGTCATTCCTAATTTGATTTTCTCACCACGTATTTAAAAATACAGAAGTCTTTTTTTTTTTCAGTTTGGGAGCTGTATAAAAGTATTCAGTGGCCTGGATTTGGCCTGCAAGGTGCAGTTTGCTAAAGTTTGTTTTAGAGAACGTATAATACTAGCATAGCCTGGTTTGAAAACATAGTAAAATTTTCCTTTTATTCTATGAAATAGTAACAAAAGGAGCACATTTTCCATATATTTCTTCATTCCTTTTGTGCAAAGAAAAAATTAGAAAACTCACATCGAGATTAAATTCACTTGATTCTGAATTTAAACAGAGGCCACACCAACATTTTACAAAGATTGTTTTTTGAACAACAAGCTTTATAGTTAAGACCTGCAGATTTTAATTTAGAGAGAAATCTAAAGACCAAAGGAAGAATGTTTTATTTCAAAGTAGCATTTATTTGAAGGAACCAACCTCTTCAGAAGGGGCTGTCCTGAGAATCTATAATAATGCAGTCAATACAGTACTGGGTTCATTCCTGCTATATTATACACTAAAACCATCATAGGACACCAAAAACATAAACATGCTGGGAATCAAGTAAAATAATGTGTCAAAATGCCTGCATATGTGCAGGAAGAAATTGCATTTTGTACTTGTTTCAAAAAACTAAATTCAAAACTAATTTTGAAAGCAAACCATTCTAACTTTACATGCATATCTCTAAATCTTCATTTTTTTAAGGAATTTTCTCCCTACTTGATGTTCTTATGTCTGTCAAATTTAACTAGGATATAATTTGAAAAGAATGTTGGACTGTGACCATAAACACAATTATTTCCACTTAATCATCACCACTAATTCCATATGGCCAATAATGTCGATCTAGACTTGGGGAAGTCAGAATTATCTAGATACTTGCTACTCAGCTGTGGTCTGTAGACCAGGAGCATCAGCATTATCAAGAAGTTTATTGGACATGCAGAAGCTCAGGCCCTATCACGTTCTCACTGGCTGAAATCTACACCCTAACAAATTTGTCAGGTGGCTGTGTATACATTAGCAGTAAGGTAGCATTCAGCTCTAGCAATGGTTTTAAACTTTGGCTGTGTGTTAGAATTCACGCTGGAGCTTCCAGAAATCCTAGTGCCTGGGAGCTCTATCCCAGCCTATTTAAATCAGAACATCTGAGATCAAGGCTGAGGCATCCGTAGTTTTTAAAGTTTCCTAGAAAATTTCCATGTGAAGCACTCTGAGAACCACCAGGTAGGTGGACTGAGCATATTATTGCTTGAGAGTGAGAAGAGCACATTCTCATTATCAAGAGGAAACAAGGTCTGCATAACTAGAGGAACTATTAGAGGTGTTAAAAAGGTCAAGTTGGCACATATTAAAGGGATAGTTCTAGAGTGCCACTTCATTATTGGAAGGATGGAATAGTTGCACATCCCAAGCCAGGTGACAAGGCCATGCACCCAATTTCTTAGACTTTTTGTCTCCTGTTTAAGCCATACAACTTTAAATAATTCTCGGCTGTCACCAAGATTCCACTTGATCTTAACAAAGATTTCTAAAAAGGTTCCCATATAGAATACCAACGTGGTGACTGCCCTTTTATATCAAAGATGAGGATAAATTTTTTGCTAGAATTAGCAAGCTTCACGTGTTAAATTAGATTAACTGATCATTGAAGCTGCCATCCATAGCTTAGAAATAAAACATGAAAAGACAGGCAATGTCATGCAAAAATCATTTTTTCTCTTCTTGGATCAATAAGAAACCCAAGAGATTAATTGTGCAAGGGCTGATACATATAAGAGGAAAAGGCATTATGCAGCAAGTTATATGATATCAAGGTCCCCAAAATTATTAGTTCAGTTCAGTGATTTGGTGCCCCTTTATCAATAACATTGATTATGTCTTTAAATGCTAGTGGCTAGGTTATATTTTATATCTTAATCATAAAATGAGATAAAACATTCAGGTTACTAGTTAACCAAAAACAAAAAAAACATTAAGATTAAATTCAAATTCTCCTGGGTTCTGGTATGTATTGAGTCTCCCTATGTAAGGAGAGGTCTGGATAGCGTCCGACAGATTCTGAGTTGGGTCACTTTCCTCTCTTCTGCTAATTATGCCTCATTTTTGAAACTTCCCACCCCTTTCACCATCCTGGGGGTTCAGCTTTCTGGTACCAGCTCATTGCTTCATTGCAGAGTTCTCAGTATCAGCTAGCCATTGCTCCACACAGCCCATCTGTTATATTTCTATTGCTCTAGCTATTTTTGTGCTTAATTGCTAATTTCACAGACCTGTGGAACGTTGGAAGTGCAATTATCTTCCAGTGTAATTGCCTTCTGCAAAATTTGCCTCCTACAAAACCGCAAAAATTGCATTCTGTTTGGTACTACCTGTGAATATCTGTGGAGGCCTTTTCAGCCATGCAGAAAGGCCTACTGTAGACTACCCATGCTTTAGGCAAGACTAAGTTATCTCTTGCTGGAACTCCCCCTTAGTTAGGGTATCTTAGTTGATTTAAAAGTGGTCTGGTTGATATCACTTGGGAGCTTTTGTCTACTTAAATATTTTATTTGATGTTCACTCATTTTAAAAATTGCACACTTTGAATAGCTCCTAAATTTCTAAGTGTCACTCGAATACAAATATAATACAGGAACAGTTCTCAGTATGTAATTATATATTAATTGACTTATTTCACAAATATGAACAACTGGTCCTACTGTATGGGAGGTAATATTTTAGATTCTGTGAGGAATGAAAAGATTCAGAAAAGCGTTTCCTGATCTCTGGAAGCCCCAGGGTAGGAAAAGCATATGAATGACCATTATTTCCAGTCCGACGCGCAGTTGATGCCCTCAAATAAGCCAACAATGAATCAGTGAGATGAAATTTCATGAAGGGCTTTATGAAAGATAACATTACAGGTGAACCTTGATCTTGGGCAGGTTTTGAACAGGTAATGGTCAGGACAAATGGAAACAGACTTAGCAATGAAACTTTCTTGAAACGGCCAAACTGAATGGACATTCAGTAGATAAAAGTGTGAAGCTAGGTGCTGTATGCTCAGTAATACCACGTGGCACCAAATATTTTCAATCTCCTTTAACTAATGTACAAAGGAGACCCTCACTAAAAGAGAGGAATTGCTAAAGGCTAATATGCCTATCACAGACTGGGAAAACCAGCTTAGAGCAACTGAATGAAACCTCCTTTGTACTAATCTGAAACATTTAAAACAGAAACCCAGACTTTTCATTGTACTTTATGTCTTTGTTTGTTTATTTATTTATTTTGCAAAGGGTTTACCCTTCCTACTTGGAGAAATCAGGGACAAATTCAAAAGAGTGTTGGGTTTTTGTTGACAAATAATCTGAGTCCTTCGTTGACTGATGACTGCCAAGAGTCAGCAGCAGGTGCTAACAGTTCCTTTGTAATCATGATAATTGTTTGAAATCGCTTTTCTGTTCCAGGATTGTTTTTGGGGAGAAGGCCTGAGAGAGAGTGCAGATGGGTCTGATTTAAACAACAGCCTTATTAAAGGCACACATTATATTTGTTGATTATCAGCAAATGTAAGTATATCGTTAGTGTCCCAAATTAATTATCTGTTGCAAAAATAATAATAGCTACAGCTGTTCTGCCTTTAAAAGATGAAATGGTCTGCTTGGATATGCATGTCTGACATGGCTTATTTTCTTCCTGTGGCACTCAGAGTCTCTGATGTTAGTGTTTCTTTTTTGTTATGTAGACATCTACATGGGCTTTTTCCCCCTTTAAATTTATGGAACATATGCAGTACCCACTTCACCCAAAGCTATAGAATAATGATGCTATTACTATAGCCATCTGTCTCTTCATATCACTGTCTTCTGTGAGTTTATAGAGCAGTTTTAGAGCTCCTCTGTCAGAAACAGTATTGTTTAACATTAGGAACTGCCTTCATCTGATAATGTACATCTTTATTTGGAGTCAGCTTCTGCCAACATCTATCCCAGTTAAGGATGCAGGGAGGGGTTCAGGAGCTTGTTGTGGCTGTCTTGAGTGAGATGGGGTAAGAGCTGCCTCTTTTGCTCCACTTGACTGATGCCCAGAGGAAAGGGTGAACCAATCTCCCACTCCTCTTGTAACTCTACATTTGCAGGTTCCCACCTTGACAGGCAGAAACAGCTCCAGCCAGTGCTAATTTGAGTAACATCTAAAAGGCTTGCCTGACAAGGCAGATTCAAATTATGAAGCAAACCCCTCACATCCTGAGACCTTGTTAGCGAGATTAGCAGTGGATGGCTCCTTGTGACAGTTTGTTTGCTAGAGGTGAGCTATGTGCATTTCCATTGCAGGCAGGTTATATCATCATTTAAAGAAAAAAAATAAAGATGTCATTTTTTTCTTGTTTGTCACAGAGTTCATGTAATATTCCCTCTCGATTTTCTCATTGTTGACTTCAGAAAGAAAGAGCAGCAAGGATGTACCTTTGAGTACGACAGCTAATTTTGTTATGGATGAACAGAATATTGTGACAAAACAGTGGCACAGCTGTCATAACAGCTGTCACACATTAATCATGACAGTGACAAATAGCATAATTACCTTATCTGGAATTCCTCGCATGCACACTCTGTATGCCCCACTGCCAAGCGAGCATATCACGCATGGTTTAATTAAAAAGACATCAATACAGGTTAGTTAGACAAGGGCTAGAAGACATTGATCCAAAATGAAAATAAAATTATTTATACGTTGGTGTTTGGGGATACCCAAAGACCAATTACTTAGCTGACATGATAATTTGAAACTATTTCCCTAACTGGCCCTTCTTGATATGTATATAACCTAGTAAATTGGCTCTTCTGCTTCAAACTAGCAGCCCTTTCTCCATTAAACATTTGATCTCCTCTTTTTCCAGACTCAGCATGTGACCTTGGAAGCCATCTTTATGTTCTATCCATTGATCGAAGGGATTCTATTGATAAATGTGTGCTTTCCAGTGAACTAGTCATGACTCACTTTTTTGTTGTTGTTAATTTGTTTCCCAAGGCTGCTACTGAGCAGATGGAAAATAATATTAAGCAGTGTTTTTAAATTTTATTTGGAAATTCTTTCTAAATAAAAAATGAGGCAAAATAAAAGCAAGTGAGACCGGGTCTTGAGCCTAGAAGTGACATTTGCTTGCATGTTCTGTGCATTAATACAGGTATCTATGTCCTAGTGCATATATGTGTCACATCACTATGTGTAAATAGGCACACATGCCAAAGATATGTATATTTCTGCCCCCCTGGAATTTTAAGCTCAACAATTCATTGAATTTACTGATTGAATTCCTGGGAGCTGGCTCTTGAATTGCTCTGAAGCTGCCTCGATGAAATATTAATGAATCAATTTCCATAGACATGGACTCATTATCTTGCTGGATGCCATTGGAAAACAGTCCTGCCTGCGGTGTCCTTCCACCTGGCTGTGACATGATTTGATTTTTTCCTCTCTCTTTTTTAATTAAATAAAAATGGCTTTCAAGAAATTTTTGATAAGTTTGGAACCGACATTTCCATTTCTCCTGATAGGCACCTAAATGGAAGTAAGATATTTCAAATAAATGTATGTATCGTTTAAATGATATATTGAAAAGTAGAAACTGGAAACAAAGGGAGAGGGGGTCACTTTAGTTCTGTAGTCTCTGTGTCCCCCAGAAATAAGGAAACTGCTGCTTTTCAGAACAATCAATCCACTTTTGGAAAAGTTTATATTTTAAGAAGCCGGGTGCACTACTTACTTGATTACAAAGTTATCAGCTTTATAAAATGTTCTGAACACAAAACAGCCATTTTAACTCAGGACTGATAGAATGTAGCTGGATTTATTCAGGTTATGTCTGCAAAATGCTAAAAGAGCTGGTGAGAATATGAAAAATTGAGTCAGTCAAGCAGTGATCATCTGCATACAACATAAATGGCTGGCTTTAGGTATTCTGTTTTTTGTTCACTGAAATTGATTGGTTTCTTATGCTTTGTACAAGTCAACTCAGGGATGTAATAAAGTCCATTAAACTATAATTATACCAAACAGAAAGTTTTTAGCTTCCTTCCTTCCTATTCATTCTGTTCCAGAAAAGATTATTAATGCCTGCTTTGGGTGCTATCAACACCCACTTTATAGAACTCTTAAAAAACCCACTGCTAAATGGCTGCCAATGTTGTTAGACAAAGACTAGGATTATGTTCTCAAATTTAATGGCTTTCACCATTCTGATTTAGAACCAGTAGTATATCTGACTGTCATTTGATCTGGGGACACTGTTACCATTTCAACACACACATATTATATGATCTGAGAACACTGTCACTATTTCAACATGTACATTCTTCCAGGGAAAAAGTGAAGAAAGTATCTTGACCAAGAAAATCTCAACACCAAGCCAAGAAAGAATTATTTTCATCTTTGTAGAAAGAACATCTGATTTTTTTCTTGGTTTACTGTGCTGATCTCATTTCAACCTAGGTCCTGGGAACCCACTTGGCTCCAGCCCTCCCAGGCTAACTGTGAACTCCAGGTATTAGGATTGTAGCTCCTTACATGAAATATTTTGATGAAAACTATTTAAAAACCACATCAATTACCTGCACATAGTACCTTTGCATAAACATCAGACTATTCATTATTGGAGCAATGCGTCTCTGGAACCTCAGAATAAATCCCTCCTCTAGGCCCAAACAAAGATGGAAATAACTCAGAACTGCTCAGAAGAGGAATATCATTCTATATCTTTAGTCTGAGGATTGATGCTAAAGAGGAAAAAAGCCAAGTTTCTTGAGAATTAAACCTGATTTACTGACAGATATCCAAAGATATTGTAATGAGCAAGAAGCTCTTTTAGGTCAAATCATAAGTGACAGAATAATAAAAATGACTTTAGCTTTTCTTGATCAAACATTTTAGGATGACTCTCTGTCCTTCTCTTTGCTGACTATGATACTTTTTTAGGGTACATATTTGCTACTATGCATTTATGTTTTTTGGGTTTTTTTTTTTTTATGTACTGGGGATCAAACTTGGGACCTTGCACTTGCAAGGCAAGCAGCCATCGAGCTAAATCCCGGGCCCATATGCATTTATGTTTTTATGCGGTGCCATCTGTTAGTACATCAGAAGTTCTTTATAAGTTAATTCTGTGTCTTTATCTTCTTTTTCATTTTATGCAGGATTGTGCCTTGTGTAATTGTTGAACTAATACATATATAATAAATAACAACGCAGTTGGCTTTAATAATTAAAACAAAGACATGGGTTTTCTCTGAAACATCCAGGTTGGTTTTACTTAGCATATTACTTGACTGAGAGTTCTGAAAAGGTCCAAAACTTTACTTTTAGAAAAAGTTTTCTCAGCCTCCGCTTCAAAAGATAGCTCTATTTACCCATACTTCTTGCCTGCTATAAGAATTGGCCTTTTGCATGGATATTGTGTGGATCTCTACTGGTTTGAATATAGAGTTTGGTGTATAGGTGAACTAACTGTGATACTAATCCATGCCCCACAGCTGTCATATAGGATAGCTTGTATATATTATACCAACAAATACTTAACGTATTGTATAATATAAGATTCTTGATCGCACTGTCCTTTCTGAATTTGGTCCATGCACTACCTAAAGGAATCCAGTAACATACCTTCATCCACCTTGAGAAAATTAGTTCCGGCAAAGCTTACTGCTTTGTGTATCCTGTCATTCCTTGGGTTTGTGGCCAGGGTGTATTTTTTTACTCTCAGTGCCTCAGAATATTTCAGCGGCACTTCTTCCCTCCGACAGTGACAATTGGCAGGTTTTCCATGTAAGAAATAGCAGCAGCAATTGTGTTTATCTCCCTGACTAAGAGGTTTTCTATTTATCTTCCCTGAGGTGGTGCCCATGTGGCTGTCCTGATATTGAGCAGCTGGACAGATTACACCCTAGAGCCACATCTGCGGACAAATAGATCAACACCATTTTCACTGCCTTGTGTCCAAGAAGTTTATCTTATGTCGGTGAGATTTACTGCTTTCTTCATGAATGGTTAAGGCCTTTTCTCCTCCCATGTTTTGTTTTCTCTTTCACCTTATTTGATTTAAGACAATATTAGCATAATCTGATCTGGGTTGTTAACAGCTGATTGGTTAGTTTTGATCTCCCGCCTTTATTAATGAGGATTTCCAGTAGGACTCTGTAGTGATATCTTGGTAAAGAATATAACATAAATATCTTACATAGAGAAAATACTTTATTGGTATCTATACCTAATAGTTTGGTATTTACTACCATGTCTAAGTACATGGTAAAGACATTGCTTGGAATATTGTATCCCAGGACTAAATTTTACTTTCTGCTCTTGCTTCAACTCTTAGGGCACAGTCCTTCAAATTTATGTTAGTAGTTTACAATACACTTAAATTGATACTATCTCTGTTGGTTCTAAACAGAACCCTATTAGGTAGCAAGGAGAGAGGTAATGATTTTTCAGTTTTACAAACTGGAAAATCAAAGTTCAGGTATGATGAGAGAATCCTAGTCAGCTATGAAGTGATGTAGCCACCCACCTGGCCGGCTTCAACACTGGTCTCTGGTCCATTCTGCCCCAGACATCACCAGTGGGAAGCCAGCCCACTCCTCCAAGCCTTCCCCACCCAGACACCACATATGGGGGACCTAGACCTGCAACTTTATTCTCCCTGATGGGGTAGGGAGGACACATGAGGATGAATGACAAAGAGCCTGGGAATCAGCTTACCACCTGGGCAGCCAAGAGGCTCTTGCCTCTGGTTGGAAGAGGGGCCCCTAGTGTCTGGCTCATCTTACCTTTATTGACCCACACACGGGTACAAGCAACACAAGATTCATCTGCTTTCCAATATCCATTAGTGAATGCTCAGGTAAACAATTTAATCTCAACTTTTTAATTTTTCCCTAAAACCTGCAATATGTCATCACCCTTGAATGCAGCCTTTGTCCTTTGTGCTTATAGAAGAGGCCAATTAGGCCTCAGTTTTCCCCTGATCTTCCACAAAGTGAGGATTTCTATCTAGCAAACCATGTTTAGATTTCTGCATCTCCCTATTTCTTTAGTCAGGGTTGGGATGAAGGGGTATTTTCATGGGTGAGGTCCCCAGGGTAAAGAAGGCACACAGAGCTGACATCAGCAAGAACAAACGTCTTTTTTCCTCAGCCCTTATATAGGCCACTACACAGCCTGACATCATTATGTCCTTACATAATCACCTAACACATGTGTAGCAGTCTAAGCTGAGTCACACTTACATAAGTGTGCCCTGTTGTTTGCATGTGTTAGACAGTGGGGTCATGTCGTTAAGGTCCTCAGGTGCCCTAGGCTTTGAATCATTCAGAAGCGATTCCCTATCTTCCACAGCTTCAAAGGTTGTAGGAATGTCACTTTTTATGAGCAGCCCATAGAGTTGACTGTTGCACACAAAGACCACCACAACAATAAGTGAACAGCACAATACCATTAACAGTATTGCTGCAGCAGTGCAACTTGTGGCCCCCCAACAATGTTATTTCATTTCCTATCATCCACCCCTACCATTATACGTAACAGGGTCCCATCCTTGTGGGGTGGTCCTGCTCTTCCAGATCAATGCCTCAACAGCCTGAGTTGATGATCCCAGGCAGAGCCAGTCCAGTTTCGATGCTGTCCATCAGTCTAATTGAGCAGAAATGCCAGCTCAATCCTCCGTGGGAGGCGCTCAGCTGCAATCGTTGAGAGTTCAGTACACACCCAACAATGAATTTGTTGATGTACACAGTCAAATGTGTGCCCATAAGAGGTTGCTGTTAGTGTGACTCATCCTGGTTGGAAGGACAGGGCAGAAAGAGAAACCGTTATAAAGAGTTCCAGCTCTTCTGGACAGGATTGCAGCTGGAACCATCTTACCTCCCAGCTTCATAGGCTCCAACACAGGAAGGATTAAGGCTCCTTTCATTACCTTAAGACCTTGTTCTGTGAGTTGGATATGCAGATAGGCCAGCTGCACTTTCAAGAGGCGATGCAGTGCGCTGTCACCATATGTCAGTGGAAACTTGCAGAGATTCATCCTCATGCATTACAAGTAGTCACATGTGGCCCACCTGTCTGTACAAGTGTGCAGAAGTCCTTCCTCCTGCATTACAGGCAGCCATATTGCTTGTATCTCTACACAATGGCTCAACCTGTTTGTTCTGGTTTCAAACCAGAGAATTTCATATTGGCCTGGACAGCAACTGCCATCCATTGCAGGGTTGTGCCATGGCTGGACCCATCAGGATACTAGGCCTCAGCCAGAGGCCTCTTTCCCTTCTGCGTAGGGGCTAGGTATCATGACCTGCAGGCTGTCATCCTGTACAGTCTCCTGTACTACGTGTATCACAAGTCCCAAAAGTGTTGCTAATCTGGCTGCCAATAGGCTGGCTGAGAAGGCCCTCTGTTAAAAGCATGGCCCTCATCGTGTTAGGGTGTGAGCCTAGGCTACTCCACTCCTGGGATGAAGCTTTCATGTCAGCCCTCTATTGGGTATCTCGTCTGCACTTCCACAGTCTGCTACCCTGTGATTCCTTCAAAGGTGTGCAGAGCAGCACACACCACCGCTAACTTTTCTCAGTCTGGGAATACTGACTTTCAGCTCCTTTTCACAACTGTGACAGGCTGCAGCCAAACCCAACATCATCCACACTAACAGGGTAAAAGGCAGGGCAGAGTCAATGACTTGGAGGGTTTGGACTGCTCTCTTTGAGTCCCGAAAAGCAGCTTCCACTGGGTCTATTCTGTCAAGGGGTCCTCAGGAATTACTTTTTGTCTTACTTGACAAGATAACACTTAAGAATTTGACAGACAAGCCAGGTCTCTGTACTTTGTCTTTGTTGACAAAGGTCAGGTCAGCAAAGCTTCCTTCAAACTGCACAGTGGCTTCAAGATCTGGAAGGCAATCAGAGGTTAACACAGTATCATCAGTATAATAAATAACCACAGAGTGTGGCTTGGGCCCGGTGACCACGTCCTGGGCCACTAGGCCGTGACACAGAGTCAGGCTATGTAAATAACCTGGGGCAACTCCGGGAAGGTCCACTGTCTGCTTTCCCAGGCCAACAGAAACTGGTCCTGACTGTCGGATGTGATAGCAATAGAGAAGATGGCACTGACCAAATAAACAAAATAATGGCATTGACGCAGCATCAGGGTGAGATGATTCATCAGGTCTGTGGTGTTAGGCACCATTTCATGCAAGGGTGTGGGGGTGTGTCACGTCATTCAGTTCCCGGTAATCCATGGTCATTTGCCGTGCTCCCTCCGGCTTCCACCGGGCCGCACCAGAGAACTCAAAGGGCTGTGTGAAGGGCGTATCACTCCAGCTTCTTCCACCTTCAGAACAATCTGCCTTATTTTCATATGACCTCCAGGCATCCGATGCAGCTTCACGCACACGACCCGCATAGCCTCTGGGAAAATCAGCATTGAAAGATGAGGACAATGAGTTTGAGCACACAGATTCACCAAAGGAATTCTCCCTGCATGGTGTCAAGTAGAGCACTAGTCAGTATGTCCTACTCCCAGTATATAGCAACCGGAGAACTACAGACATCATAAAGGCACGAGGCCAAGTGCCTGATACCCATCGTCATTTGGGCCTTCCAGATTTGAGGACAATGAGTTTGAGCACACAGATTCACCAAAGGAATTCTCCCTGCATGGTGTCAAGTAGCGCACTAGTCAGTATGTCTACTCCCAGTGTATAGCAACCAGAGAACTACAGACACCATAAAGGCACGAGGCCAAGTGCCTGATACCCATCGTCATTTGGGCCTTCCAGACGGTATTGCTGCTCAGGCCGCAGCTGTCACCCTAGAGTCAGCAACACATCCAAAGCCTCCCATCTATCTTATCTGTAGCTAGGCCAGCAGCCAGCAGGTCCGCTAGCCAGAATCAAGTTCTCTACGGGCGCTGTAAGCAGTTCTTTATCAGGGCTGTGATACTGCGTAGCAAACATCACTTGTCACATGCCCATTTCCCATAGCATAACTACTAAATCAAAGTAATTTGTCCATTCTGTGATTTTCCCAAACCGGGCAGACTCCTGGCATCAACCACTTTATCAGTGTTTGGTTACCTGCTCATGGGGCTGTTCTCTGCACATCCTGCAAAAGCTAGCATACAGACAGAGTACTGGCTATGTTAGCTAGTTAGGACATCTCCTGTGAGCTTAACTTCATGCTATCAGTCCTTTCATCCCACAACAATAGCAGCCATACAGGCACTGTTTCACCCAAGTTTTGCTTTAATTGTTTCGCCAGCTCTTGTAACTCCATGGCTATGTAGGTCATATATGGTGTGTGATGGGTAGACATAGGCAATCCCCCTGTCCCCCTCATTGGACTAGGGGCTTATCCACCTCTACCTTTTCACAAATATCAGGCCTTGCATACAGTACCAGGGAACTCTCCTGGTGACGGGGACTTAGACTTTGGGAGGAGGTGGTATTACCCATGTCCTGCAACATGGCTTTTGTGGTGGCCAGTACGTTCCAGGTTCTCTGTTCATTGCAGTTGACCCAACTCCTGGCAGAGGTCTTTAGCCTCTTGCCCCACACACAGCCAAGCCATCCACCCCACTGACTCATGGTAGGTGAAGGGATTTGCATGTGCACTCTTTCTAAGGCCTTCAGGTATCATGCAGACTGCTTCCCAGTCCTTGGGTTCTGCCACGCCACCAAAATGGTGGCTACAGGTAACTAAAGTGAGGCCAGGGGAAGTATGTCAGCAGTACCCCAGAGATCTCCCTTGCCGTCTGGCTCTGTTTCCACAGACGCCAAGGGGACACTCACCTCATCCTACCAACTATGCCACATGTCAGGGCCTTGTTGGGGCAGGGCTAAAGAGGTATTTTCATGGGTGAGGTTCCTAGGATAAAGAAGGCACACAGAGCCAATATCAGCAACAAGACCAAGAGCAAACATCTTTATTCCTTAGCCCTTATATAGGCTGCTATACAGCCTTACATCAT